TTCTTTCTCCCTTCACCACAGAGAGAGATTTACGCCATCGTAACTTCTCTGTTAAATTTGCCCAAATAAAACATGAATTTAAAGTGTATGGCGTGATGAGGAGGTTGCGGGAGAAACCATCCCATTGTACCGACATTACGGAACAGGATGACCCATATTGTCCGTAATGGAGGGGCACCATAAAGACCAGTTAGTAGCGTTACAATTAGACAAACTAGCCCTTAGCGCAGGTAAGTTTTGGGTTCGAATTTGCGAAATTTGCCACATTACCTGATGAGCGGTTTAATATCCGATGAAATTGACTTTTTGGGAACAACGAGATGCTATCTTGATTGCGTATGATGATATCTTACGCTTCTGGAGATGGCGGCGGCTGTGACATATTAATAGCCGTGGATAAGAAGGCTACTGCTCCTGCGCTGATGTCTTTTCTTTCTCCCCTCTTTATCAATATGCCTTACTCTCTGTCTGTTTGGAATTGTATATATCATTGCCCTCACATACAGACACACTCATTTCCTACTGGATATAATTATTTGTATTTCTCTCTATGCCCCTTTCCTCTCTTCCTCTCTATCTTCTCCTACTCTAGCTTCCTCATCTCATATCCTTCAGCATCAATAAAGGCGGAAATGCCAGGCCTTTCGTCGCGTTCTCGCCCTTTCCGACACTCAGGAATGAACCTCAATAAAACACCCAGATCTGAAGCAGCAACTCCACCGTCGAGGCGTTGACATATCGGGTATAAACGGCGGTATCACTCCGCTAGTTTACACCTTGTATTGGGCACGACGCAGCGGCTGTGGCGAAATATGGGTTTGGATCCCGTGTCGCAGGAGGGCCTTATTGCAACAGAAAGGGATTGAATATCATAGATCCCAGCGTTTGGAATTTGCACTTCCGTCTGCTGGCCTTCTCTTTAGCCGTGCTCTTCCTATCAGTACATGTCCTGATAGTCTTATCTGCTCTTATGCCAACAAATTAATGCTCAGACAGTTTATATATATATATATATATATATATATATATATATATATATATATATATGTGTGTGTGTGTGTGTGTTGTGTGTGTGTGTGTGTGTGTGTGTGTGTGTGTGTGTGTGTGTGTGTGTGTGTGAGTGTGGTGTGTGTGTGTGTGTTTATGTATGTATGTATGTATATATGTATATATATATATATATATATATATATATGTGTGTGTGTGTGTGTGTTGTGTGTGTGTGTGTGTGTGTGTGTGTCTATATATATATATATATATATATATATATATATATATATATATATATATATATATATATATATATGGTTGGTTGGTTGGTTGGATAGATGGATGGATGTGTATATATATTAAGTGTATGTATTTACCTGTGTGCAAGGATATGTGCGTGTATACATGTACAATACACGTATATATTAACCACAACTACAATAGTCAATATTTACGTGCATTCCTTTTGCTTCGATATATTTATTGTTATTCTATTATCTCCTTCAAACATATTCACCTGCTACAGAAACAAAAAAATACTCTTATTGTTTTGTCATTTCTCTCGAAATTCCCCAGAATCAGTCTTTCTTTTACAAATCTTTTTCCCTCGGCACAAAAAAGTGAAACCGGAAAAGACTGGCCCTTCCCTCTGTCTCCAAAATATCCAGCGGACAAAATCCCGACGTGAAATATTAATCCCGACTCTGAATCACATAAAACAAAGCAAAAACAAACAGGCGGAACAAATGTGCTTTTATGACTTACAACGAATCAGCTTTTAGGTCCCTTGTTAAAACCGCGATCGCGTCCCATAATTATGTTCGAAGCACCATGGACTGTACATACACATTCTTTCAGCAACTTGCTCAATGATGCAAGGATGTTGAATGCTGCAATGGACAATGAATGATGTATCCTGCTCCTCGTAGTGTCGGCCCTGCCTTAGGATGAGGGGAGGGGGGGGGGGGATCCTATAGTTGGAACTCGGAAGGAAAATGTATATTAGAAAACAAAAATGCTGGGATTTTGTAGAGGGTAAGATGAAGAAGAAAGGGAAAAAGGGAGAACTGTAAATGCGGGCAAAGAAGCCAGAGATGGTGAATGAAGAGGAGAGCAGAAGAAGGAAAAATGGGTGCTCAGGGAAAAGGGGAAAGAAATTGGTTGTTAGGAAAGAGGAAGGGCGGTCTGACTATTTTCCGCAAGAGAGATGGTCAAGGGGACTGGAAGGAACAATATGATTTGATTTAATCCTATGATCAACACTTTCTATCCGATTTGGTTATATTTACGTTTTTATTTATGAATTCTAGGTGAAGATGTCTTATACTGATGGCTAGGAAAATCCTCTGGATATATTTTCTACATTCGCAGGGATATAGCTCCCATGGCCGAGTGTCCAGGTGTGTTTCTTCAAAACACGTAAACATCTGTTGTATTTCGACAAGTACACCTGCCAATCAGCCCAGACCCTCCTCCACACACAATATATATTTTCCCCAGTTTCTCTGTACCATAGTAGTAACCTGCTATTATGTTCACATTGTACTCACTAAACAAATGTTCATGAAAAAAGTTTCCGTGTTGAAGCAACATTTGAGGCACCTGTATATCGACTGCCCCGCCCCTTTCTCTCTCCTCCCTTTCGCCCTGCTCCTCTTCCTCTTCCACTTCCTCCCGTCCCTCTCTTCTTCTCACCTACCTTCCTCCTCTTCCCTCCTCATCTTTCTTTTTCTCTTCATCTATATCTTCCTTCTTTTCTTTATCCTTTTCCTGTTTCTACTCCTTATGTGTCTCCTTTACTTCCCCTCCTCCTCTTCTTTCTCCCTTTCCTCATCTTCTTCTTCCTCCTCCTCCCCCTTTTCCTTCTTCTCCTCTTCCTTTTCCTCATCTTATTCCTTCTCGTCCTCCTCCGCCTCCTCCTTACCATCCATCCTTCCTCTCCTTCCTTCACCGCATACATATCCCAGGACCAAGAGTTATTGGACTTTATATATGTTACTTAATATTTTCCTTGCCACGACCACCTTCGGAATTACACACTCAGGTGTATGTATTAGGTCATAACAATAGAGATAAATTGACATACAGTGCATTGCTCTTCGCCAGCGTCCAATAGCACAATAGCTTATCTACATTGTGAATTATAAATGTACCCTGTATCGATGATATGATCCGATTTTCCATATAAGAGAAAATGCGAATCCACCAGTGAGAAGGGAGATAAACAAGCATGCAGTAGATGGATAGATAGATAGGTAGATAAAAATCTAGAAAGGCAGAAAAGTAAATGGGAAAAGAGAGAGAGAGAATGAGAGAGTAGGTGAGGCAGAAAGAGAGAGAACCTCTGTGTGGTACCAGTATTTTCAACCTGTTGTAAACAGATATGTGTTTTTACGACTATCTTTCGGGATATCTTACCAAAAGTGGACCATAAAGTCTGCGTTGATTATGTGGTGACAAAATAGCCTATCCGCCCGAATAGCCTGATCTACCTACCGCGCTTCAGATCCTCTGGGATTCCCGTGAGGCATTCGCGATGAGGTTCATGGCTACACAAAAGGCATTTTCTTCATAAACAAGGTTCATTTGCTCGTGCTATCCGTCGGAAAAATCGCTTCTATATAAAAACACGCGGAAAAAATTGGTTATTCTTTCAGCCCAGAGGCGGCGGGCGGGCGGCAGCAGCGAGAAATAAGGCCCCGATACATCATTCACGAACCGGCGATCCCTACAGAAGTGTCGGAGCTTTTAGTCAGAGTTTTTACGAGTCGTCTAAATTAGTGGAGCGAGTTGACGCTGTGTCTCGCAGGCCGGGGCTCGATGCGCGCCTGCTACCCACGGGGGGCTCGGAGGGTCCCTGCGTGGTGGGCGGGGCTGGCAGGAGGAAAGGGGGGAGGGGCCTAAGGGGAAGGAAAGTAGAAGAATGGGAGGAGGAGGAGGAGGGGAAAGGGGCGCGTAGAAAGAACGACAGGTTAAAGAAGGAAAGCCGTTAAATATTCACCGAGTTGCTACGGAGGGAGGAAGAAAGGCTGCATCGCTGGTGGCCGGGAATTAGTGTACGGTTACAGGAAAATCAGGAGAAGAAGCGAGTAATGCGAAGGCAAATCTTGACAATAAATAAACACATTTTACGATCACAATATCCTAGCTTTTCCCTCGTAGCGAAACGAGCGATAAAGCGACAGAACTCCTTGCAGGGAGGGGGGGGGGGGGCAGCCAAAAAGGAACCAAAACGACAGAGGTTGAATTCTAAGCTGGCCAGACGAACCAAACGACCAAACAAAATAAAGATTTTTCAAAAATGAATAAAAAAAATACAGAATGGAAGGGATAATTTGAAGAGGCAAGAAGAACGGATAACAGAGTGGGAACCTGGGGGCAGAGGACAGGAGGGAGAGATATGAGAGCTCTTATATCTGTGAGGTAATATAAGAGGGTCATCAAGTTGCTGGAGGTTTGTGGCCCCCCGCTGCCGCCGAGGGGGGGAGGGACATGTACTCGCGGAGCGGGAAAAGATGGACGATGCGCTGGGTCGCAGATTTTATAATTTCCTTTCACTATTATCATTGCTCGGGGGATCGCCTGATGTCACCATTGCCATCAACAATAACTATTGCACGTAAGCAAATATTAACATATTTCCAAGGCCCATTATCACACACACACGCACGCACACACACACACATATATAGATACCTATAGATGCATATTGATAGAGGTTTATTGATGTTTATAAATCCACCAGACCTTAAGAAAACAATGTCAACCGAATAGCAGAAAAGGGAGAGAAAACTGTGCCCGAATTCCTGCCGAAGCGAAAGCCCTCCCCGGCCTCCGCCTCGAGATCAAAGAACAAGTTCGCCTGAGCGCCGGGCGTCGGAGGCATAATCAGCCGACCTCATCCCGGAAATGATTACCGAGTTCGTAATTCCCTTCCTACTGACAGTTCACATCTTTCTCATGCTTTCCCTGCGCATTCGGTTGCATGACGAGATTCGAGTCTGACTTACCCGTAGGCGGCGAAGGTGGGGTCGTAGGGGTAATACCCTGCCGGCGAAGCCCCGAGGCCACTGCCGTACATAGAGACGTCGCCGGCGCCGCCCTCCTTCATGCCGTAGCCGGAGCTCTGCAACGGAGAGAAGGACATTAGTTGGGTCGTGACAGGATGGTTCTCATGAAAGTAGAAAAAAAAATACAATGCCCTGAAATGATGTCACTGTTAGTGTCCTGAATGCCATCAACTATAAACATAATCGCTGTACTGAAGTTTTAATATGCCCAATGCCATCCCCTATAAATATGCTCGTTGTAATGAGGTTCTTGGCGTTATTGTTCAAAAAGAACCTCACGCTGAAGTTGGCGTAGCTTGACCCTTGTCGCAGCAGAGAGAAGATCCGGGCAGGTGTAGCACATCCCGCCGCCGTGTTCGCCATATCGATCTCGCAGCGACTGTATGGGCGGCAGACCGAGTAAAAATAACAAGAATGTATCATCCCAAAACCCACGTAACATAAGGGTCACTTTTGGTCACGGTTGTGCAATGGGTTGGCGACATATATGCTTTTGTCACGTCCTGTCATGGGCGCGTGGTGATATATCCCCCTTCCGCGGTGCTACTTACGAGAGGGGAGGCGAGGGCAGCTGGGGGAGGATATATTGATTGTTATTTCACACCCTATGTCGCGCTGTCGCTCTCCGAGACCCACCGAGTCCTTGAAGGAAGGGAGATAATCGTCGAAGGAAGGACGGAAGCCAGGACCTGGCGACACGACATTCGCCTCCTCTTCCTTGTGACCTCTCTTTCTCTTCCTTTATCATCCAGACTGTTTCCCCTTTCTAACTTCACTTTATTTCCTTCTTTTCTCTCTCTTTATCTTTTTTGTGGGGTGGAGGGGCTTTGGCTTTCTCTTTTTCATTATTTTGCCCCTTCACCATTCTCTCTCTCTCTCTCTCTCTCTCTCTCTCTCTCTCTCTCTCTCTCTCTCTCTCTCTCTCTCTCTCTCTCTCTCTCTCTCTCTCTCTCTCTCACTATTTCATGAACTAGGGAAAGCTATAATAAAGACGGATAAATAGACATGGTGTGTTTTCATAGTCATCACAAAAACAGTCCGTAAAATCGAGCCGTGCAATGTGCATGCCTCGTGATGTTGCAAAGGAGTAGAAATGAGTATGAATCAACCGAAATGATCGGAAATATCCAGTCATCGCAAAGGAAGGCTTTCATATAGAAAACCTTTGAACAAACAAGTGCCGGGAGAAAAATAATGAATCGGGGACCATTATTAAGGGACTAGATCCTCTTCAGCCACTTATTGCTTCTCTTAAGTGATCCTGTGCTTTGACCAATGGCTAGAAATTGTAAAATGGCTCAGGACCCGAACTACCTCCCGAAATTCATTATTCTGATTTTTCCCTCCGAGTCAGAGGGGAGCCAAAGAGTGGGGGCAGCGGAAGGTCTAGGTAAATACTATACATACACACAAACACACACGGACATGCGTGCGCACACACACGCACACAGACACACGCACACGAACATACAGATAGATAGATATAAGCAGACACACACAGATACACGTACACAGCCACGTAAATGCATATATAAACAGCTATAAATATACACAGGAACAATCCTAAAACACTCAGGAAAGTCGTTAGTATTATATGCACGTGTAGGAAAATTAGAAGAGAAAAAAGGGTAAACGAGAGGAGAGTTGATGAGGGGGGAAAGGAAGCAATTGGCAAAATGTGGCCATTACACTCCATCAGCTGATAATCTGGGAGCAACAAAGGAAGTTGCTGCCCGGATGCGGTGCTTGAGTAAGAAGCAGGAGACCGACGGGGCGCTGAGCAAGCACATGCGTCGCTGCGAGACCCTGAAAGCAAACGCAACGCAGCGGAACTCGACGATAAAAATTCAGCCGTAACTCATCCCTTCCCCCGCAAGCGCCCGCAAGCACGCACACTCATCGCTCTCAATCTACGCCCACAATGAATCGGTGGGAGGGACGTGTTATTAGCACTTCTGCTTGCCTGCCAAAAGCTGGGCGGCTGATCGTATCTGATTTATTTTGCGGTTTCGGTTCTGGTCCGTCGTGTACGTCAAGAATACGTTTCAGATACATACAGCGAGGTGTGTGTATGGATACAGTGTTTTTGCTTGTGGGTAATTGGAAATGAATGAATGGAATTATAAAATGCAGACGCGTAAGGGTCTAGGACTGTATTAATCAATTTGTAAGCAACTAAATGAATAATTAAGTTTTAAGTTGCGTGTGTGTGTGTGTAGCAAGGCTTGCGTGAATACACTATTTATTCTTTTAAGTAAATGGACAAAAAATTGGGATTCATACATCACACATTTACGAATCGTATCAAATCATTCTCCGAGAAGACAACTTCCTTTGATCAAAGTCGCATCGACAAAAAAAGTAATCCTTTATTATCGATTTTCCAACAATTAATCATAAGTTTAGCAACTTTTATTGGAAAAATTAAGTTCTCGTAATACTTCCATGTCCTCACATTCCCCCCTCTCCCCCTCCCCCTTCCCCATTACTTGCTCCAGGCCGACATACTAGTTTAATTAGCAGTTGTTATTGCTCTCGAAAAAAGGGAAAAATGTTCTTACTTATGTGGAGGAATGTATTAATGTGTCACAGGGCAACGTGGCATGAATATTAAGCAGTTTATAATGCGTCCTATTCAAATTGGATGAATTCATTACCAATATGGATACAGGGATTGATAAAACGTGGCTTCCTTCATTATGTGGCGAGTAATTAGGGAGATCTGCCGTTAGATTGATTCGGTTGACATTTCTCTCCGCCGACGGGGATTTCTTAATAAGAAAAATTATTCAAGCAATGCCAAAGGCCGCGCCGAGACGCCGCCGTCACAAAAACAGACGAGCGGGAACGTGGAAGGGCATCGCCAGAGAAATAGCATCAATTAGATCTAATCCAGCGTGAGTTACCCTCCGCCCTCGCCACTTGACGGCCTCCGGAACGTCTATACAACCAATATTAGCCGCTCCGAGAAACAATATTCCCCTCAATAGAGTCAGATCGTTTATATACACTACCGGATCCTCTATCGGAACCTACAGAGAGGTTCTTGGTATTCAGTTCTGCACGTGGGGCTGTTTACTCAGGGGACGTAAGCTTGAGACCGCCCGCTGCTCGGTGCACTGGGGACGGGTGATGGGCGCACCTCTCCCGGTGGGAATCGTTCAAGAACATCGTCCACAATTATTCCACGATATCGATCGTTGAATTTGATTGGCACGTTTGACGTATCAGTATTTCCTCAGCGTTTTTATCGGGCTTATTACTGTAATTAGGGCCGCATCAGCCATCCATCATCAGCGGGAGGACTCGGGGCTAAATGCACTATCCTTGTTTCCAGGATCGTAAAAATAATCAGTAATATTTCACCCTCGACAAAACAAGGGAGGAACTCTGGCTTACTCTCGAGTTATCAGCTCGGAACATCCGCTGCGGCGATCCTCCCGTCACGAGCGGCAGGACGTCGGGCGCGGAAGACACGCACCGGCAGCACATGTCCTCCCGAGGGACGACGTGTCGCCATCTTAAGCCTTCATTTTCGCTTCCTGGGAAACCTACGGCCAAGATGTTCCCGCCGGCGAGATCTTAGCGAAGAGGAGCGATTCGCACAAACGGGGTCGGAATTAACAATGTCCCTCTGGTAATAAAAGACAACCAAAAAAGTGACAGGTGTTGAAGCAGATGACGGGGGTCGCGATACACCGCGATAACGACACCGCACTTCCCACTGCGCCCCGACGCCACACCGACTCCGCCGCGCTCATTCGTCACCTCAAATACACTCGCTGCTACACCCTGTGCGCCTGCCTTCATACATACAAGCACCATATCCCTCAACCAAACATCCTTGCCGAGCTCATACGAACTCCACACCCCGTGCAGGGCGGAGACGAGGCCGCCATCCTCACTCGCAGGTCACTCGCCACCCGAGCAGCCGCGTGGACCTCCTGCTGGGCTGCACAGATAGAAATTAGGTGCAAATGACGTTTACTGTATCGTTCCGGTCTAACGAGGCGGTGTTATGTACACTAAAAACTACTAGAATTACCACCAAATTGATGCCACCTACACAGTCTCCTGCTGGGACCGGTTGTTACTCATTGACCCGCTGTGGGAGGGCGGGGCGGGATTGGGGTTGGTTTATGTGGGTTGGGGAAAACCACTTAAATAACACGTGATTAAGGATGCAGCGTTATAAGGGACAAAGTATCAGCTTACGAATACAGTCGACAGGATTTTAGTTATACTTTTAATGATATTCCTCTCCCAGAACAAGTTCTTCTGTGTATAGGAATACACATTGCATGCAAAAAGGGAAAAAATGAATCGTGATAAGGAAGCATGAGTGACAAGGCAGTAATGCGAAAGACAACTTTAGTCACATCATCCCGCCCACAGGATAAAGCATGTCCTCCTCTCTCTCTCTCTCTCTCTCTCTCTCTCTCTCTCTCTCTCTCTCTCTCTCTCTCTCTCTCTCTCTCTCTCTCTCTCTCTCTCTCTCTCTCTCTATCCCCCCCCTTTCACCTGTACCCATGTTCAAGGCAAAACAAGGGAAAAAAATACTGAGAAAGCAATGATGATTTGCACTTGGTGATATTGCCAACTAGAGAGAAGCACAGTACTTTTTTTTTTTAGCTTATTTACCGCCCCTTTTACTGCCACGTGTTCCTGCCTCGCCGTGCTTCCCCGCGAGAGCTAGAACACCTGCAACAGCCTCACGGTTCTGCACAAATGCTGTACTTAGTTCACGCGATGTTGCCTAGTATGTGAAGAACCTCGACCTCTGCCATCTTCAGGAGTCACTCTATGCTGTCTTTGTTTTCTTTGCTTTCCTTCCCCCACGTGGTCATGGGTCTTATCACCCCCAGGATGTTGTTGGATATAAGGAACTTGTCGCCTTATCGGACACACCAGCTGCATCACATGTTTGCCTATCCCAACGTCTCCGGGGTATACGATGGCCGTCCTGTGTCTGTTATCGTTATCAACTGGTCTTCCTCGAAATTTGCTCTCTGCACTTCCGACTACGGCTTTTAGTATCTTCTATGTCCCTCGCTTT